GTTCTGAACTTCAGAAGATAGTTTAAGAACAGTAATAATAGTAACCCAGTTGGGTGATGCAGGTTCTGACAATCTCTTTCATTCAACTGATTTTAAAAAATGCAGGAGAAATTTTCTGCACTGCAGAAATCATAGAATGTAAGGGTTGTAAAGGAACTTGGAGATCATCTAATCTACCCCTCTTGCCCAGTGCTGCAAGAATCTACTACAGATAGTCCTCAACTTACAGCCACAATTAGGACTGGAACTTCCGTCACTAAGCAATGCAGCCATTAAGTGAGTTGCACCCAATTTTACAACCTTTTTTGCCACAGTTGTTAAACAAATCCAGCTTCCCCCATTGACTTTGCTTGTCAGAAGCCCTCTGGGAAGGTCGGAAATGGCAATCATGTGACACCAGGATGCTGCAACCATCATAAATACATGCCAGTTGCCAAGCGCCTGAATTCTGATCACATGACTGTGGGGACACTGTGATGGTCGTAAGTGCAAGGAACGGTTGTAAGTCACTTTTTTCAGTACCGTCATAACTTCAAATGGTCATTAAACAAATGGTCATAAGTCAAAGACTACCTGTAATAAAGCTTTCATGATAGAAGGTCTTCCAGCCCCCTTGGAAGAGAATCTCCCATCTCCCAAGTCAGTCTGTTTCCTTGTTGAACAGCTCTTACTATTAGGGATGTTTTCCTACATACAACTAAAATCTGTCTCCTTGTTCAAGCCCGCTGTTTCTTGTTTTCTGAACAACTCTGAATAATTCTGCCCCATTTTCTCCATGACAGGCCTTCAGATATACTTGAAGATAGTTCTCCCATCTCTGCAGACTTCTCTCCTCTAGGCTAAAATACCTAAGCCTCCAACTTACATGTTTTTTTCTTCCATTTACTTCTTCTCTTTTGGCCATACTCCAGTTTGTCAAACTCCTTCTTAAACTGTGGTGCCCAGAAGTGAACCCTGCAGTATATGACCAATGCAGAATAGAGAGAAAGGGGTCTGCATTCTACAGATGCCTATGTTCCAATTGGTTTTAATACATAGATTAGTTTTTAAGGTGCCACCAACTGTTCTTTGCTTTTAATACACAAGGAGGTTCCTGTAGCAGCGGATGGCTCTCCTGCTATTGCAGCCCCCATTCATCAGTTTCTGGGAATCCACTTATTTTCCTTGGCTCACATTTTGCCAACCTGTATCTTGGAGCACCACTTTTGGGGATGTCCCCACGGAAAGACAAAAACCTATAGCTATATGTCCATGTCACCTGTGCAAGATTTCTCTTCTGCTTCTTAACCATTGACTAAAAAAAAAAAGAACAAGAAGACTTGTGACTTGTGCATTTCCCATCATTAAAGACTATAGGGAGCGCATGGAAGTGGAAATGCTGTGTTCAAAAAGAGGGTTACAAAAATAAATGTTTGCACAGAGGGAGGAATTACCTGTAAGAGATCTCTTCTGCATTGCTGCTCTCTAGATCAATTTTCCACCTTTTGATCCCATTCAATTTTTTTTTCCCTGAGCAACCCAGATACAGCGTTGTCGGAAGGCTGCCATGTTTTCTTCCCCTGTTTGTGCAGTAAGAAAAGATCAGGGTGGGAGGTGGGGAAAAATGGAATCTCTTCCCCGTTTTCAGACCCTGGACACATTTTCTAGAGCTTCTGTAGTAAAAGGTGTTGTTGGTAAATGCAGTTCTCAGTTTCTCAACATTTGTAAAAGGGGAAAAAACCTATAGCCCTACCTGAAATTTGAATGAATGTTCAAAGACTCTTAAACTGTCTTTGGCAGGCAGGCAGAAATTCAGTGTGGGAGGCTTTCCTTGGCTTTACATCGCCCTCTTAGGAAAACACTGGATTTAGAAAATAGGGAATTCTTATGTCAGCCTCTTTGCTCATCTTCCTTCCCCAATATGATGCTTCTCTGCTGTTTTGGACTTCGATGCCCATCAGCCCTGCACAGCACTGCCAGTGGCTTGAGATGATGGGAGCTGTGGTCCAAAGCATCAGGAAGGCATGACATTGGAGAAGGAACAGCTGTTTCAACTGGCACAAAAGGACTGTAATGGTATGTGGGAATAACCTTGGGAGACAGGAGGAAGAGCTGCAGACTAGGCAATGGTCAGATAAGCAGCAGCTCAGCCCACAGAAGCAATGGGAGCATGGCAAACATCTCAGAAGGGACCCTCCCTAGTTTCTTGGGCTGTAAAGGTGAGGGGGAAGAGATGCACTTGCAGACTGTTAATGTAAGCTTACAATGAAGTTATTTTACAATAAAGTTACACACAGTACTTCTGGGTGTGCTTCTTATCTGGACTATCTTCCAAGGCTGACAAGGACTGAGCAGCACGTGTCCAACCTTGTCCAAGCTGGGATGCTAAATAGGCTTTATCCTAGTAAGTACTTGGATGGGAGACCATCAGGAATTCCCAGAGCCATAGACAGGGTTTCTTACATCCCAGAAGAAAGCAAGGGTCAACTACTTCTGAACGGTTGCAAAGAAAATTACACGGATTAGTTCCTGAAATCCCCATATTGGCTTGAAGGAAATTTTACCTTCATGAGAAAACAATTGGGGATCATGTGCATTGCAAAGCATACACTCTGCTTCTGATTGACAATCCACCCCCTTGGCAATTCTTTCCTCTCTGCCTTTTTCAGCAGGTATTTCCACCCACACTTACAGAGTCTTAATCTCTGTAACCTTGAGGATGACAGACATGACAGCCCTCTAGAACAGCTAGTTTGGAGGAGCAAAGAGCATGGTTTGGAGATGAGAATGAACCCTGTATTTCCTTCGAGCAGCATATTGTGGCTGGGTGTGCTGAACCCTAATACCAGGATAATCAAATAGAATGGCCAGCATGATATAGTAGGGAAGGTGCTGGACTGGTAGCAGGGAGCCCTTCAGCCATGGAGGCTCCCTGGGGGACTTTGAGCCAGTCCCTCCCTCTGAGGGCAAAACCCAGAGTGGTCCAGTGGTGAAGGTGTTGGACTAGCAGTGGGCCACTGAAGCTCCCTGGAGGACCTTGGGTTAGTCCCTCTCTCAACCTAAGAGCCAATGTGGTTCAGTGGAGAAGGTGCTGGACTAGGAGCAGGGAAACCCAGGTTCTAGTCCCCCCTCAGCCACAGAAGCTCCCTGGAGGACTTTGGGTCAGTCCCTCTCTCAGCTCAAGAAAGTTCACCGCATTGTTCTTGTGGGTGTAAATTGAGGGCAGGCCTTCAGCTCTTGGAGGAAAGGCAGAATATAAACTTAGTGAATAAGAAGGATGACCATGTTGGCTGGATTCCCAGCATGTGAAATGTCCCAACGATGAACAACATTGTGGTGTCCATGAGGTTGTGGGTCACCCACGTCCTAAGACAATGGCTGCCTTCTATAATGGTAGGTGGGAATGACCTTGGGAGACAGGACCCAGAGACACTGCCTGGGGAAAGGTCAGATGAGAAGCAGCTGAGCCCACAGAAGGAATGGGGTGTGGCAAACATCTCAGAAGGGACCCTCCCTAGTTTCTTGGGCTGTAAAGCAGACAAGGGGAGAATTGTACTTTCAGACTTGCAAGATTCTGTCAATGTAGCCTTACAATAAAGTAGAATTAGCTTATCTGGTCGTGTTTCCTATCTGGCTCACCTGGTAAAGCTGACACCTTCCCACAAACTACCTAACTCCAAGCCTTATCCTTGTGTCGTGTGCGTGTGTGTGTATAAAAATATAAATTTAAATACAGGAAGCTGGTCTGCTGCAACCTTTAGCATCATATTCATTTGCAGGAATGTTTTGGAGTCCCATGAAGATCCTACCAGGATGGTGAGGGACTGGTTGGTCTTCTATGAAATGAGGGTTTGGTAATTGGTTGTGGCCACCATTTTGTGAGTGGATCTACCACCTGTTCCCAAATTTGCACATCTACCATCAGCCGAAGAAGCTTGCCTATCCGTTCCACCTCCCCAGCCCTGGTGTCAGCCTCTTTCTGAGTAGCTGGGCTGGACCAGATAATCTCAAAGATCATTATTCTCTTTCTCCTCTGTTTACTCAGATCCCTTCTGGCTGGCAGTCCCCTACCAAAAATGTGGTGAACGGAAGCCCTTCCAAGTGCCCGCGTTTTGCCAAAGTGAGGAACTGGGAAACGGGCTGTGTGCTCAGCGATACTTTGCATTTGAAGTGCTCCATGGTAAGTGAGCTGCATATCTGCCCGAGTATTTTTTCCAACTGTTTTGGGGTCCGTTTCACAGATAAGGAAAGGTCCTTGAAACATGCTTCTTTCCAAGGTCCACCTTTACTATGAGGTGGAGTGACGCAGCCAGTTCAGGCAGATTGTGGCTAACCTTAAAGAGGAGGAAGCTTGACTGGGGAAGTTGGGGGAGACCCTGTTGCTGCACTGCAGGGACCAAAATGCCTCAATCTGGTCCCAACACTCAAACAGTCCTTTAGGGCAGGGTTGGAGAGTCCTGCTGAGCTGAATTGGAGAAAAGGTTCGGCCCCAGAGAACCAAGTTACTGTTTTTTGAGGTTACACTGTGATGTTGCCCAGCCTCACCATGACGCATGAAGCAAGCTTCACGGTTGGGCAGGTTGGCTGCAGCAGAAGCTGTGTGGCATTAGTAGGTGGCTGGACCAACCACCCTTTAAATGTCCCATAATGACATAGGGTCGAAAGCATTGTGGGAAATTGGCCAAGGAACATCAGCAACTGAAATCAAACCCTGTTTGGAGGGCATCAGGAGACTTAAATGGCCAGAGCAAAAGAAAAGAGTTTTCAAAGCAAGTCTCTACCCTGGTCCTCTCTGGATGCTGCAGCCCCGCGTTGGAGCTGAGGACGGGAGTAAACACCATTCCTTCTTTGACTCCCTCTATTGTTCCGTCTGTATGTTTCATTTCCTCCCTTCTGCATCCAAGGCTTAGTTAGTAAAATTACTGAATCTTTAATTCTGAAATTGTAGAGTGACTAATTTGTACTTCAGTTTCAGTTCTTCAGCTAGTCCCCATCTCCTTCTCGCTCCCTGCCTCCCGTCGTATTTCTTCTATTCGCCTCTGCGTAGATAAATCTCTGCAGAGTGCCATTTCAATGCGAACGTCTATACCATTCATATCAAGGTTCTTTTTGCTGTTGCCACGTGTGCTCCTGTAAAAGAATGTCAGCCACAAAGAATCTTGATGCTGTGATATGTAGTTGTTAGCAGAAGAATGCTCTTTTGCAGTTCAATCAATGCGCCTGACTGCACGTGTGCAATACTGTAGATTAGCAAAACATCAGTAATGGAACCGGGGAGGGGGGAGGGAAATAAACATGAATAAATGAGGGAACGTAGACCTAGGGTAGATGTGATCGTAAAGGAATGTTTTGTAGTTAAGGTTTTTTAAGATGCAAATAAGAAGGTTGCAGAGGATAGCAGGATGAAAAAACATCCATCTAGGGTGCAACAGCTGCGAAGCAAGCAAATTCCACACTGGGCGGATCACTAAGAAAAAAGATATAAAGCCACCAGCCTCGCACGGCTTTCATAGAAATGTTTAGCGTGAAAACAACCTGGAATGCTTTTCAGAATTCTGCTTCTCGTGTTTCAGGGAAAAGTTGCTAGGGCAAGGGAAAGGTGTAGGAAAGAAAGCCGCCACCAGAATGACTGGAGGAAAAGTAACAACATGAGCCTTTCCCCCCCTCCGGTTTAGAAAAGTCTAATGGGGGAGAGAGCAGAATAGAAGCGTTTGAAATTAGGAGTGGAGGAGTTTTTTCTCCCTCGTTCATAATAGTAGCATGAGAGAGACAATTCCCAAGCTGCCGTTTTCAGTCGTGTGATTCTTTTGAATACGGTTAGTCCGTTTCTGCAAGAAGAGGAGGCCAAAGAGATGTGTTAAACTCTGGGAGCATTAACAGACCGATGTTGCCTCTTGGGGCCTTCTCAACCACCATCACTTCTTCCCAGAACCACAGCCCTGCCAGTTCCTTGACTTCTTCACATCACTGTCCCTGCTCCTGAATGCCCTCAGAGACCCCTCCACGCATTGATTGAACCACCTCCTCCAAAGCATTTAAAGGAAAAATGCAGCCTTTGACTGCACAAAGATTCCCTGCTCCTGTGCTAGGACTTGGGCTTACCCAATGAAGTTGAAGTTTAGCTGTTCTGGACAATAGTTATGGTCCACTAACAGCAGAGCATAGTTATTTTTTTTGGATTATCCTACCACAAGACGCAATGGCCACCTACCTGGAGAGCTCCAAAGGCAGACTGGACCAATCTACAGCAGCTAAAACTGTCACCAGATACCAATCATGAAGGTGATAGGCTATCTCCAAGGCAGAAAAAGGATAAACTTTTAATCCTGGTGAATAACTGCATGATAGAGCATTTGTCCCCAACTCGTAGTTGAGATTCAGGAGGTACTGCCCGTCATTTAGGAAGTCATACTCAGCCATCAAGGCTAATATCCCTTGATAGGCTGATCCTCCATAAATATATCTAACCCTTTTTTAAAAAAAGAAAGAAAGAAAGAAAAAACCTTTCTAAAATATATCCAATTGTGGCAAATAGCACAGTTCATACATTGTGTAGTGAAGTGGTTCTTTTTATCACCTTGTGTTTAGTTTCACTGAATGCCTCCAAGTTTTAACAAAGGGAGAGGGAGAAAAAATGATTGTCTGCCTGTGTTTCCCATAATATGCACGGTTTTATATATATAACAAGCCCCAATGGCTGTATTGTTTCCTTGTACGGAAGCTGATCTGCCACACTAAATCATTCTGATTTCTCTTTTCTGTTTGCAACTTGGGCCCATCACCTGTTGGCACAGCTTGGCACAGCCCCCACCAGCAACAAGTAGCTGTATTCAGAAATGTTTTAGACTTAAAAAGGGAAATCTTTTCCTAGTTTAGTGACATTTCAGGGGTTAGATCGAAGATTATTTAAACTTACATATTTAAAAGCAGCAAGACTAAAAATTGTTTCAGAATTCTGCCCCTTTTCCAGGCCTATAGTTTATAGTGTCCTTTCTGAGGTGCGATAACCATAATAGAACAGATTATTCCACGGTGAAGCATTCTTCTGGGGTTAAATTACAGATCATGAAGGGACATCCACTGTGTTTTCTGCTTCTCCGTGGCCTGGTTCTGAAGCCATCATTGCCCAGCTAACAGGACCATGGTTGAATAGAGAAAGAACCAGTTCGCTCTCAACCTTTCCCTTTATAACTCTGCTTCAGTGCCCTGTCATGGTTTTATTAACCCAGAAATGGAGATACAACCTGTGCTTACCAGCCAGGCTAAGGAGCCAGATTCAGAGTATGGCTCTGTGCTCTGAACATGTTCCATCCATGGACATTCTCTGCAAATCCACTGTGTTATTTTAACTCCTGCAACAGGTTAACAGAATCTGTACTGTGTGCCTTTCTACCTCTCACCTTTCAGGTGACCCCCTGCAGTGAACAGGTCTGCATGGGTTCCATCATGACTCCTTCTCAGCATGTCCGAAAACCAGAAGACGTCCGGACAAAGGATCAGCTACTCCTCCTGGCCAAAGAATTCATCGATCAATACTACTCCTCCATCAAGAGGCAAGTCTGGGGCCTCAACAATTCCTGGGGCAGAGAGTTTTGCCCCAGAAACTGTCATGATTTCTGCCAGGTGTTTGAATATGGGCAGTCAGACACCAAGTTGTCCTATTCACTAGGATCAGGGTGACCTACTTGCAAATTCGGGGGGGGGGTGTTTGAAATAAGTGGCTGGTAGGGTCTTCCTGGTTAATTATATAAGTTCAGCATGAATCTGCCCTTAGTTTGGTAAAAAAAAAATCATTCTCCCCTCATCAGAACACATTTGGTTGGGATAGCATTCCATAACAAGGAAGGGAAAGGATAGAGGACTTCACTTTTGGTTCATAAATAAGGTGTTGAATGTTGCCAGGAGGACTGGAGATAAGAAAAGTGCTTCATTATTCTTGATGTTTCAGGCGGATTTCTGACTATGCTTATTATGATTAGTTTGGTGGATACTGCTTTTAATTTCATTTTATTTTCACCCAACTGATAACTCTTCCATTAAAAGAGGCTAAAGAATTCTTAATAAAAGCCTTGACCTGAGCTCAAACATTACAGCATGCTCCTTCCGTGTTCTGAGCCCATCGTGGTAAGCCATTAGCAAAGCCAAATTGTCAGACCTAAAACAGCTCATAGAAAAGAAACATCTCTGGTGGCCAGGAGTTCTTCTCTCCCCACATCAATGGGTGTTTTGAACTGTGGTTCTTCTGCCAGAGTTAGAAGAAAGCAAGGGGTTAAATCCCTGGACAGAGATAGAACAGGGGAACTCTGCTGGTGCTCATTGTGATGATTATAATTGCCAATTTTGGCACCATGCCTCTTCCCCTTTGGAGAACCAAGAGTATAAAGTGGGTTTGCTTGGACATGTGTGCAGGGGCAGGATTGCCTTGCGCAACTCAACGGTGCCCAGCCTGATGGCATGAATGATGGCTAACCTGCTTCCTTCCCTGCCCTGGCAGGTTTGGCTCCAAAGCTCACATGGAAAGGCTAGTGGAGGTCACCAAGGAGATAGAAACTACCGACACTTACCAGTTGCGAGATACAGAGCTGATCTACGGAGCCAAGCATGCGTGGCGCAATGCCTCCCGTTGCGTGGGTAGAATCCAGTGGTCCAAGCTGCAGGTGAGGAACTGGTGGGCTTGGGCACAGCCAGCAGGCCACCTGCCTCAATGGTACACCTCGGCAAGTACGGATGTGATTAGCAGGGATGAGTATTATTGGCAAACTGGCACAGAGTTAAGAGGTCTGCAGGGAGGCTGAAAGCTCAGATGAAGCCTTCCCTGAAGATCTGAGGAAGCTGATTTAAAACAAGCCATCCAAATATTTTAAGTTCAGGGTTTTGCAAGCACATACGCCCGCCCCGTAAGTTTCTTTTCATTACACCGAAAGGAAGAAAAAGCCCATGAGCTGGAGGCATGTGGAAGTTGCAAACATCCTTTCTGTGCAAATGTTAATCCTCAATAAAATGCTTTCAGAGATTTGCATGCAAAATCAGAGCCTCCTCCCCTACCTTAACTTGTTTTAAGCCTGCTTAAGTGTTTATAAGGGTTTACTCGCTGAGGCAGCTCCAGATGTAAGGTGGAGGACTGTCAAACTGCTTTCTATCTTTAACACGTTTTTCTAGTTCGGCCCTCCAGGATCTTAAAACTGTTTGGTCTAACCCTGCCTTCTGATAGCCACATGATAGCCACAATTAAAACATACAATTGGATGCATACACTTACACATAAGTAGTATCCTCTGTTCTTCAGACTTAAGCTTCTTTCTTCATTCTCTGTGTTGTTCTTGTGAATCTTAACTCCGACTCCTCTGTTTGAATCTTTCCAGGTTTTTGATGCCCGGGACTGTACCACCGCCCATGGGATGTTCAACTACATTTGCAACCACATCAAATATGCCACTAACAAAGGGAACCTCAGGTACACGAGTGTGAGTGTGCATGTGTTGTGTGGTTTCATGCCCAAAAGGCACTGCGCCACGACCTGCTTTGGTATATCTAACTCATCTCAGTTTGGGAAGGTCGACAGAAAACGGAGCGACCCAATGTTAGAATCTCCCATAGCAATAATAAAATGAAAAGCCAACAATTCTAGTCTAAAATGGAATGGATTTTCCACTCTAATTGCCAGTATACAAAAGACGCCAAAGGAGCTGCTGGTGCCTGTCAAGCAAGGGGTGGTAACCTACAGACCTGTGGCTACATGCGGCTTGCAAATCCCCTTCTTTACAGCCCCCTCCCAAACCTCCTCCCGCGGCGTTGCTGAATTGCTGTAATTGCAGTAAATTGGAGGCAGGACTTCCTTTCATTTCGAGATGAAAAAATAGTACTGTATGGTAAGGGCTGAAATGAGCTTAACACCACTTAACAAAGGAAAAACAAGAACTCCCAATTCAAACAAACAGAGTCATTCCCAGCCTGGCCTAACTGCGTTGCAGCTCCACTTGTTTTGCAGAATCAAACAAGACCGCCTAAAACCTTGACAACCCCCATCACAGAGAGAGTTAGGCAGTCTTTCGATCTATATCCTTTTTCTATGTCTGCAGCATTGCCAGGATACTCAGAGTGAGCAAATGTTTAGCCCAGCTGAGTTTTTAGCCTGGCCAGAAGACTTTTCTGGGGAAATCTCAAAATGCAAGAACAGCTTTCTGGAATAAAACAAGGCCCAGGTTAACTCAGCAATTTGTTTTTCCCCCAGTAGCTCACCAAATGCTCCTAGGGTGCCCATAAGCAGGAAGTGGAGACTTAACCCCTCTCCCCTGTTGTTTCCCTGCAACTGGTATTTGGACACATGGGGTTCCCAACTTAAAGGTAACATGGAGCCTTCAAGACTAATAACCCTTGATAGACCTGACCTCCATGAATTTATCCAATTCCCTTTTAAATAGATCCAACTCTATTTAAAAGCATCGCTTCTTGCAGTAATACCGTATATACTCACAAATAAGACAACAATTTCAGGTGCCAAAATGTACCCCAAAAATTGAGTTCAGCTTGTCTTTTAATGAGCTGCTCCACAAGTATATATGGTAGTACATATATATCCTGTATATACTTGCATAGAAGCCCATCCGTGGATAATAATTCACTTGAATTTTTAACCGAAATGCCATGAAAAACGGATAATCTGTGGATTACCCATGGATAAGCCAGTCGTGAAAATTAATATGAACATTTTGAGGGTTGGCTTATCTGCAGGTGGTGCATTTTTCATGGCATTTTGGTTAAAAATTCAAGGGTCAGCTTATCCGCACATTGGCTTATACGTGAGTATATATGGAAAATTCCACAGAGAGGTTTGCAGCACCTTTGTGCAACTCTTTAAAGCAGCTGCACCAAACAGGCATTTAGAATCGATCTCTACATTGAGCTGTCCATGGTCCTGACAATGTTTGGTTGCACCAGAGCCCAGCTGAGGGTTTTTGGCTGGCATCCTTGAGGTCGTCAGGCCATGGAGGGACCTAGCTGGGGATGGCAGTAAGAAAAACAGACCTCAGTTTCCTTATGACTGTGGGCCAGCTGACTGAGCACTGTCTGCAGAGTAACTCCTTCCATTAGGAATGTTAAAGCTGGGCCCCTTTTTTCTTGTCCTCCTAGGTCTGCCATCACCATCTTCCCACAAAGGACCGATGGCAAACACGACTTCCGAGTCTGGAACTCCCAGCTCATCCGTTATGCTGGATATAAGCAACCAGACGGTACCATCTTGGGTGATCCAGCCAATGTGGAGCTGACGGAGGTTGGTGCATAACATGGAGGGACACACAGAATCCCATGAGGATAACGTACCTATGGTGGAAAAATCCATTGTCTTACTGTAATGGCCTGTGGGAAAGACCTTGGGAGACAGGAGGGAGAGGCCCAGACTGGACCACCAGCATGTAAAAGATTTCAAACAGTGCAAAATTTGAACAAAAGTGCCCTGTGAAAACAATAGTGTTCACTGTAGAATACTAAATACTATATAGTTTGGTGCATAAAGCAGCCTGGCTGTTTTCTTTTTCTGATTTAGATTCTTCCAAGCCTTGAGAAAATAAATTTTTTCCTTCTGCTGTAAATTGATCATAGAGTTTTGGTATTAGGGTTTTGAAGAAGGCCAATATTCTTCTAGGGTTTATTTTGGGTTCTGTGTAACAAGCCAGATCAAACATACCTAGGCAGTCAGTATTTTTCCATTCTGGCACAGGTAAGAAAGCAAAACGGAGTGAAGGTTCCCTATCTCCTTGGAGATTTGGCACAGGGGCAGGTTTTGAAGCATTTCAATCTGAACCAGCCAGGCCAAAGATCCTTCTAATGGTTGTGTACTGTTGCTCGTAGGACTGCACACCTTTTGGCTTGAGGGCTGCACTGGGCATTGCGTGGCATGTTTGGAATGGCAGAGCCAGGAACTATTTTGGAAAGGTGGTTCTGCAGTTTTTGGGGGTGAAATGGGTACCTTAAGAAGCTCTATGCTGAAGGCATGCTTTTTTCCCATTGAAGTCCCCAACATCCCAGATCCAAAGAAGGCCCCACTCTAAGGGGACTCTGCAGCCCAGCAAAGAGACGTTGGTAGGCTTCACTTTTTGCACCTGTGTTCTGTTGCATGGATATCCACCAACCTACTTTTCCTTTGGGTGCAGATTTGCCTACAGCAAGGGTGGAAAGCCCCCTACGGCCGATTCGATGTCCTACCACTCCTTCTCCAGGCCAATGGCAATGACCCTGAGCTTTTTGAAATCCCACCTGAGTTGGTGTTGGAAGTCCCCATTAGACATCCCAAGTAAGTCCAAACACCTGTGTTCTTGACTCCCATTAAGTTGATGTCAAGCAGTTGTCAGTCTTCAGACTCAACTATGTCATAGGAGACTCTGGATAGGGCTCCATTAACCTACCTTTGGGCACGTGTAGAAAATACTTCTCTTTTCCCTGAGTAAGTTCTACCCTTACTCAGGGAAGGGTAGTGGTGGTTCCCTTACTCTCTGGGTTTTTATTTTGTTTTGTTGCTTAGTCATATGCTAGGATGATGTGCTTTATGGATAGACCCTTAGGCATGGAGTTTGCTTTCAGCCTCAAAACATGAAAATAAAGAAATAAATGTTTGTTCTTTATTTATTCAGAATTGGACCAGATGTTCTTCAGGTAGATTGAGCTTTTGTAGTTTTTTTTAGCTGAAGTTGTCCTGGCTGTTCCTACTTTCTTTTTTCTTTAACAGATTCGACTGGTTTAAAGACCTCGGGCTTCAGTGGTATGGTTTACCAGCTGTTTCTAACATGCTGCTAGAGATTGGAGGCTTGGAATTCTCAGCATGCCCCTTCAGTGGTTGGTACATGGGGACCGAGATTGGAGTCCGGGACTACTGTGACAACTCTCGTTACAACATCCTAGAGGTATCCATTCTCTCTCGAATCATACTTGAGTCTTTGAAACCTTTCAAGGAGATTACCAGAGTAGAGAAACTAGAGACTGCCAGAGGGTTGGGATTTTAGCTCTCACCATCCTGTGCCATTGGCTGTGATGTCTGAGGCTGATGGGGGATGAAGTCCACTAGATCTGGAAGATGCCCTTGATATAAAGTTTATAGCAACTCAACAACCTTGGTCAGTCTTATTCCTCTGAACAGGAAGGTCATTGGTTCCAGGTGGGATGTCTTGATTAAGAGCTACCTATGCCACTCCTTTCAACTCACATTTTAAAGTTATCATGGAAGATCATTGAATGGCATCCATAGCTCAGTGATGAAACACTTACTTTGCATGACCAATGCACTAAGCATCTCCAGCTTAAAGTCCAACTAGAACGGGGAAAGATCTCCTCTGCCTTAAAAGCTGTTCAGCTCTTTTAAGTGGATAAATATCTAATATAAATTAGGTAACTCAATTTCTGTGTATTTTCTGGAAGATGGAAACACAGCACATGCTTATGAGGAAAAGTTGGAGTAATCAACCATTCTTAAAGGTCTGCACAACAAAGAGTCTTCCTACCTTAAAAACTAATATTTATGATGTCATAGTAAAAAAACAAAACAAACTGAAGTTAAAATTCACCAAGGTTGGCATAGTCAAATGCAACTGTTTGCTCTTTAACTGGTCTGAGGGCTCAAAAAAAATGAGCAAGTACAGAAAGTGATACAATCAAGAGTGGCCATTCGCAAAACAGTACTTGGATGTGATATTTGGTGATGCGTCTGACAAGGTGGACTCTAGTCTATAACAACGCGTGCCATCTTTCTCCAACCTGTTCCTTCCTAGCTGTCTCATGTCTACAATTCCCAGTCTTCTTGTCCTGATGTATCTGGAGGCCGCCATGCTATTAAAAAACAACAGCAACAGCTTTTGCTGCAGCAGATAAACAAAGCTACCCCCATTGCCACTTTAGATGTAAATTTAGGAATCCTGAAGTTACATATCTAAATTTTGGATGTCCAGATTATTTGAAGAAAGTAGTAAGCAGATACAGATACAAATGGTTGTGGTTGTTAAAATGATTTCTCTAACTGCCTAGCTCCAATCAGATTGAAGAGTGGTGTAGAGCTTAGAATTAATAACCAGAATCACAATCACAGCAGGTAAACCTTTTTTATATCTTTCAAAACTTACTGCACTGACTAGGCTGTCCTGTTTTCTAGCCACCTTACTAAGAATTTCTCATCCAGTCCTGCCGTTTCATAAAACTTCATTTCACGTCTAATTGTGATGTTGCTGTGCTGTTCATGCATTGCAGGAAGTTGCTAAAAAGATGAATTTGGACATGCGGAAGACCTCCTCTCTCTGGAAGGACCAGGCACTAGTGGAAATCAACATTGCAGTCCTGTACAGCTTCCAGGTACTGGCAGATTATTTCATAAAACCATAGCCATTTAGTAATGTTAAATATACACAATCTTTGGAGTGCTGTACAGGTAGTCCTCATTTAGCGACCACAATTGGGACCGGCAACTCTGTCATTAAGCAAAGCAGTCACTAAGTGAAATAGCAACTGTGCTTACAATCTTATTTCAGCTTTCCTTTGGTTTACAGACCTGTGAAGGTTGTAAATTCAAGAAATGGTTGCAAAGTTACTTTTTCATCACTGTTGTAACTGCGAACAGTCGCTAAATGAGGCAGTCGCTAAACAAGGACTACCTGTAATCAGATCATTTTGGACTCTGGCTTTAATGGTCTTGAAAACACCTCCCTTTCTGGAACATCATGTACATCTTGGGTCCTTGAGGCACCCTATCATCATTCAAAGCTTGATCTTTGCTGCCACACTCAGATTTTTAATGTAACACCATAGGTTAATTATTATATGGTCAGGGAGAGACCACATTAATGACAGTGAATGGATTCAATTAAATTTAATGTAACTTTTAAAAATAGTTTTATTAAAACATTTTATATACATAGTAAGAAATACTTTCAAAGCAAAAAATATAATAAAGTATATGTGAAAAAGAAAAAAAGAAAGGAAAGGAAAGGAAAAAAGAGACAAAGAAAAAAGGAGATAGAAAAAAGAAGAAGAACAGAACAGAAAACATTATATATATAAATAAAGAAGTGGCTTCCGATCTTCCTCTCAGCAGTTATACATACAATTCTAATCAAAACTCTCTCTAAGATTACTTCCTAATTCCCTTCTTTCTATAACCTTTATCAAAACCAAAATCATTTAGATATATCACAAAATCATTTAGATATATCTAAATTTGTGGAATTTATGCTGGAAATATGAACAACACGAAGGGACATTTTATCATGTTTGGTGGACGTGTAACAAATCCAAAAAATTTTGGATACAGATACGTTCACTAATTCAGAAGATCTCAAAGACTAATATACAATTGAAACCAGAGGCTTTTCTTTTGGGATTGATGGACTGACAGCTGGAAGAAAAGTCATGGAACTTTGTTTTTACAAAAGACAACTGCAGCGAGATTATTATATACTCAAGTGGAAAGATCCGGCGTTACCCACAATAGAGGAATGGTTGGTGAAGATGATGGAACTTGCAGAGATGGTTAAATTGACTTCTTTGATTAGAGAAAAGACCATCTCTACATTTTTGGCTGACTGGAAACCCCTTACAGACTTTTTGCATGAAACAGAATAAAATGAACTGGTAATTTGTGGTTTTGATGCTTAGAAAAAAACCCCTAAATAATAGAAAAAAGAGAGCTTTTCTTTTTGTAACCATAGAGTAAGAGATAATTTTGTAATCATACTTGCACTTGCTGCAAAGAATATCAGCAGCTTCTTCTATATTTTTCCTTTTGCACTTTTGTCTTCTGCTTTGTCTTTTTCTTTCTTAAAAAAGAGAGCTTTTCTTTTTGTAACCATAGAGTAAGAGATAATTTTGTAATCATACTTGCACTTGCTGCAAAGAATATCAGCAGCTTCTTCTATATTTTTCCTTTTGCACTTTTGTCTTCTGCTTTGTCTTTTTCTTTCTTTTCTTTCTTTACTTTATATTCATTTTCGTTTTTATCTTCTTTTCAAAACTTTTAATAAAATTTATATATACATATAAAAAAATATATCTAAATTTGTATGGCAAGGGGAAAAAACCAAGAGTTAAATACAAGGTGTTACAAGATGCAAAGGAAAGAGGAAGATTGGGTTTACCAGATTTGAAATTGTATTTTGCAGCTTGTTGTTTGATTTGGATGAAAGAATGGGTGTTGCTGAGAAACAAAAGACCTTTAGAGTTAGAAGCGCACGACCTGAGGTTTGGATGGCATAGCTATTTATGGTACAATAAAGATGAAATTAATGTGGATTTTAAAAACCATTTTATTAGACATGCCTTATTGAGAATATGGAATAGATATAAACCCAGCTTATGCTCAGAAACACTTCTATGGATCTCAGCACAAATTTAATGTAACTTGTAATGGAAGTTAAGGGGGTGCGTTTCTACCCCATCCACTTTTTGGAAAGTCTTCCCCAATACACCACTCAAAAGCCAAGAAAAGTCTTTGGTTCCCCCTACAGCTGCCTCTGGGTATGACAATTGCTTCATCTACTTTCAACCCTGGCAAGGCAGCCCTGTTGCATTTTGACTCCTTCCCTAATTAATCAGCTTGGTCGGGGGGGGCTGATCTTTGCATGGAGTCCTCCCTTATGATACCTCAATGCATTTCTCCATCCTTCTTTATTATATAGCTGCCCATCTCTGTAACAAAATATGACCAATGAAGAAGAAATTTGTTTCTTGCTTGGAGCTGAGCTTGTATTGTTTTCTGTTTGGTATTCTTTTCTTTGAGACGAGGGAAAACACCAGGGACTGGGGCTTTTAGCAAAATAGACTAGGCTAAAAGGAACTGTCAGTTCTGGTTCAAGGGCTTGGGGAAACCAGCCGTGGAGTAACATATTGCATGAACTAAGCCCTAAGATGATACATTTGTTTGGATGTAGTTTGTTATTACCTCCTTCCTTCTACAGAGCGACAAGGTGACGATTGTGGATCATCACTCGGCCACCGAGTCTTTCATCAAACACATGGAGAATGAGTACCGTTGCCGGGGAGGTTGTCCAGCTGACTGGGTATGGATTGTCCCGCCCATGTCTGGAAGCATCACCCCTGTCTTCCACCAGGAAATGCTCAACTACCGACTTACACCATCCTTTGAGTACCAGGTACCATTTCCTGACTTGACCCTTCAGCTCAGATTTCAATTGATGTTTGGGGATGGAGAAGTAAATCAAAGAGGTTAATTGGGATCATCCATGGTGGTAATGACCTTTTGGATGCAACCACCTCCCATGTTCTTGTGGCTCTGCAGATCTTGTTTTGTGGAAAAGATGCAAATGAGTTTTGTATGTAACCTAAACCTGATGTTATTGTTGTTAGCTACCCAGAGTCACTTGCTTGAGATAGGTGACCACATACATTGACTGAATAAATAAACAATATTTGCATTCCCAGGATAGGGAGGGCTAAATTAGCTTGAGATATGGAATCTGCTGCCCTCCGGATGTGGCTGTACAACAGCTCACAGCAACAGAGTATCCTCTCCAATGGTGATCACATCTGGAAAGCCAGGGACATAGCAGTGAAAATGGGGTAAATGGGGTAAAGTGCAAAATGGGGTAACGTGCAAAAGAGACAGTTCAGGGCAGCTAGACTCTCAACAAGGAGTAAAAAGATCAGCAGATGTTTTGTTCATTGGCTAAAATATGATTGACCTAGCCCTGCCTTGCTTCCTGATTCTTCTTAGGTCTTGCAATAAATAAGGATTTTGAGAGTAAGCTCAAGTGTCCTCAGACACAGAGTTATATGTTCTGTTGGCGTGGAGGACAGAGGGAATGGCCTTGAAGGATGGGAGGAAAAGCCACTACCAAGACAATGGTCAGATTAGAGGGGCTTGAGCCCAGGCCAAGAAATAACATGAGAAAACATCTCAGACAAACCCCTCCTTAGTTCACATGAAGATAAAGTGAGGGAGGGGGAAGCATATTCAGACTTGCAAAATTCTGTTGCTATAGCTGGTACAATCTAAGTAGTCCTGACCTATATGGCATTGGTTTCTTCAACCCCTACCTTGTTGTGTTGACAGCTGGTCAGCTGGTGTGTAGAAGAAGAGATCATATAATAGCCCCTGCAAGAAGAGTGGAGAAAGCAAGACGAGAGAAAGCTCAGGAGGAGAGCACTGACGGGAGGGGAACTGACAGGTTTCCTAACAGGAAACTGAAATTACTAGGGAAAACCGCAATTAATAACTGAAATGGTCACAGAAGGCTCTTCCTGCTGGCAGAGACAAAAATTATCCAGGAAATTGATATAGGCTAATGGGAATTGCCCTTAATTATTGTGAGAGCTGTTGTTGTTGTTGAGCTGTGGAAAGGCAGGAAGGGAATGTGTGTCTGCCTCATTTTAAAGTCATGTTTTTGCCTGGAGAAGTCAGTTTGATACTATTCCGTACTCTTCCCACAATTTTGCAGAGCCTGTGGGGTCTTGGAAAAGGTCCACAAGCCTCCTGCTTCCCTGGAGGACCCCCTTTCAAGCCCCCCAGACTTGCCAACCAGTCTTCTTCCAGCACATAAAGGAGCCAGCTTCATATAAGCGAGCTATTTCCTGCAAGAAGCATTTTCGCCCCCATGCTGTTGACCAGAATACTGAAGTTGCACAAATATTGTGCCAATTAAGGGTACATTTGCAGGAAAGGGAGAGCAATTTACGTAACAATTATATACAATTCAGAGGTTGAAATAGTTGTCTGGTTGAGACTCCTGATGATCGATGGCATGTTGAGATCGAAAGGAACATTTTTCAGATCGTTGAATACTCAACGGCAAATTAGTATCTTTCAAAATCTTGTAATATCAGCCTTTTTGCAATTACAGAAGTATACACTATCTATCCATGTCCTTTATCCTCCTGTTAATGTCCCAGTTTGTTTATAGAGCCAGGTACTTTGAAAATATCCAGCGTTGTAATTTTCCAAGCATTCCTACTGCTTTCTGTTGATCTCATGCAACCGAAATGTGAAATGCTGAAAACTCAAGATAATAATGACCTAGAGAGGTTGAGATGGTGACAATCCTTTGTGAATTCTGGAAGTGAGCATGGGACTCATTTTCATTTGTCTAGGCTGCAACACTTTCTCCTGTCTCCCAAGGTCATTCCCACATACCATTACACTTAGCTTATGGTAAGAACTTAATTAGTTCATGATTCAGCATACTGTGTGACCCCAGAAAAGGAGTTAATTCAGTAAGGCCAGATTAAGCCTGGTGTGGCAACACAGGATACGATTTAGCATTCAACTCCTGATCAATACACAAGAAAGCTAGTGAAGCTACATCTGGACATGGTAAAGTCTTGACTTCATCCTTAGACTCAATTCTTCTCTTTCAATTGGGGTTCTTTTCTCTCCTTCCAGCCTGACCCTTGGAACACACATATCTGGAAAGGTGTAAATGGCACTCCCACCAAGAAGAGAGCGATTGGCTTTAAAAAACTAGCTAAGTACGTATTCAGCCACACCATTACATTTCCCAGTATATAACATCGTTTTAGATGCACCGTTAAAACTTTAAGCGTCATACCAGCACTGCACATCCCAAGGACAACATCCAGTGGTGGAGTACCTTGAGTTTAATCTGACAGAAGAGGGGAAAAAATGTAACTACAAAGGCTGTGCAAAGATTGAACTTGAAGCTCATTCAATCAAATCATCCCATCAAGTGATTCAGTGCATCGAATTGTGTGCTCCCAAGCCAGTTTGATAATTTGATGCATGTGTGCAAGCTTGCTTTTTTCTGAATCACATCTTCGGTTCAGATGGATTTGATTCATTGAATCAATGATTTGAATAAGCTCAAAGATTTGATTTGGACTGTGTGTGATTCACCAACTCCAATCAAATTTATAGATAGCAATTATTAGAACAGCATTTAATTAATTTAGCCCAAATTGAATTAAACTGTCATTCAAACTGAAGTTTTGTTCTAGCCCCATCTACTTTTTGGTCCTGACTCCACCTACTTTCAGCATCGTTGTTGTGACCTGATATTCAGGTCAAAAGATGGTTTGATCCTTGACCCAAAATACATGTGTATCTATACTTCCTCATTGTTAAATATACCCTCACACGCTTCTATTATATATTGTCAGAAGCAAACTCTAACTTGTAACCACGGCCAGAAAAATCTTGACAGCAAACGTGGAAAGGGACGTGAAGGAATGCTTAGGAGATCTTTCCGAAGCAATGAATTTGTTCTCTTTCCACCTCGCACTTAGAGCTGTGAAGTTCTCTGCGAAGTTGATGGGACAGGCAATGGCGAAGAGGGTCAAAGCAACCATCCTGTATGCCACAGAAACAGGGAAGTCCCAGGTCTATGCAAAAACCCTGTGTGAAATCTTCAAGCACGCCTTTGATGCCAAGGTAAGCACCTAGGTTTGCTTGGGAGACCACAGGAGATGGTGTGAATGGGCCAGCAGACTCTATCTTTCCAATCAAGTCAAGCTGCGCTGGTTCCTATGTGGTTGCCATGCACAACTCTCATAGACTAGCCTTGAAAATCCCCACATTGTGTTTGGTAGCACGCAGCTTTGCAGAAGAGGTCAGTGAATAGCCTCCTCTTGCAACTCCTCAGAGGTGAAGTTTCTTACTTATTTTTTCATTTGGCAAAAGAAAAGGATACACGTGCAAATGATGCTTTAAAAAAATAGTCATTTGAATCCTAGGAAAAGGGGAAGTGACTGGGAGCAGAACAGGAGCGTGATCTGCTGGCCACGTAGCTCTGTATAGTTGACTGTGAGGCTGTGGGTTCCCTTATGCCAACTTCTTTTTAATAATATACTTCAACCTGGCAGCCCTCTCTTAGCGGTTTTGCCTTTTGTCCCTGGAGCTTTTAGAGCCCCAAGGACTCCTGAGAAGAAAAAGCAAACCGTCCAACCATTGCACACAAATGTGCATATGCGCAGTTACCGTTTGTAGCTTTCAAGCTTGCTCTTCTGAAACGACTGGTTTTATCTTTCCAGGTGATGTCAATGGATGAGTATGATACTGTTCACCTGGAACATGAAACCCTAGTTCTGGTGGTCACGAGCACCTTTGGCAACGGAGACCCTCCTGAGAATGGAGAGGTAGGAAGGGAGGTTGGCTCACCCTTGGCAACTAGTTGTACTACACGCGGCAATCCAGTTGAGTCTGCTCAACTTCTACCTGCAGATCCCAGAGACTGAACTTGGGATCTTCAGCCCACCAAGCAAGCGCTCTACCACTAGGGTGGCCAGTTGTTGTTGTTGTGGTTCAGTTGTTAAGTCGTGTCCGACTCTTCATGACCCCATGAACCCTATCGCGCCAGGCCTTCCTGTCCT